TATATTATGACAATAAGATATGTTGAATTGTGAAAATTATAATTTAAACGGGCTCTTAAATTTTGGATATGTGAGTTTCGTAGTTGCGATTTTTCTTAAATTAAGAGTTAGTTATTACTATAAGTGATGTGGTAAGTATCAGTATTAAATGTGAGACGTGAATTGAAATTTGCATATATCATTTTACAGGGGTGGTTATTATCTGTTAATTAAAGTTTAGGAGTTTTAATTTTATGGGTTAGTGGGGAAAACGTGGGGGAAATGTGGGAAAAACGTGAGCATGATTATAGGATTTATAGGAGCTCTGCAATACATATAGATATTGATATAGATGCCTCGATCATTAATGATTAGGATAAGAAGATTTTCAAACGCTCTTCACTGTATAGTGCTAGTTCCCAAAATACTTATGATTTATATTTCTTATTAAGTTCTAAGTTAATCTCTTTTCTCCCTCTCTAATTCTTGAATCCTCCTGCCAAAAAAAGGGATTCTCAACAAATCATTTTTTATCAGCTGTGACTTGAGCCACATATTGGTTCCCTAGTTTCGAAGGGTCTATATCAACGAATTCAGCCAAAACTAAAGGGACCCCATGGAATACATCGTCTATTAATCGGACTCCCATTTGTTACCCCATTCTATGGACTAATATGTTAACACCGAGGAGTTTTGCTGGGCTTGACTTTTAGCAAATAATGCAATCAAAATTATTGAAAGAATAATTTTACTTAACAAACTTAATTGTTCAACTTCTGCAAATTCTTAATGCATAGTCAGCACAAACTTGACTAATTGATTTTGGGACTAATCTCAATTGCTTTAAGAATATCAAAAGCAAAATCAGAAGCCTAAAGCCCTTTTTTTTGGTTCCTTTTTTCTTCTCTTTTTTGGTAGCCTATTCTGAATTACACCTTCACCAGTTCCTTTTCTTATAATACAAATCAAGCTCAACCCAGCTTTCACCATAAATTCTGACCTCAGCAAACAAATTTTTGTTATTTTAAGCATTTTGGAGAAGAGGAAATAGCAATACAAATAGATACAAATTGTAAGGTGCAAATAGATATTGACCTTGTTCTTGGATGCTTTAAATTTTACAAAATGATCTGATTATAAAGAATAATTAGAATCATCAAAAGTTATTTGACCATCAAGCTACATTACAACCGATTAAAAATCTATAAGTTGTTTGACCATCAAAGTTATATCTGATTATAGATTTTATTTTTTAGTCATTAAAAATCTATAATCTGAATAGAAAAAGCAGTCGAAAAATATCACAAAAATTGATTATTCAAAATTAAAATCTATAACCAATTAAAATAATCAATCGTGAACAAGCAAATTATTTGACCATCAAGCTACATTACCACTGTCATTCAATTTTTACAAAGTTTACGTATTTACGCTCAAAGATCAAGGCTGTCAAGCCCATTACTTTTTCACTTCATCAAATATGTTGCATAATAAAATTCTGCTTTTCAACGGTTTGATAATGTCCAAGTTTCCCCCACCTAAAAGTCGGCATACATTCCTTAAAGAAATTTAAAGCGTGAGATTTCTACATAAAGGGTGATATGGTGCGGCTGTGCTGCCATGGATGTATGGCCATCATGATGAAAAGATGTAGTATCAATAAAATATTTTAGTGGGGCACACTCTCACAAGACTAAGAGATTTTAATTAGTGTTTGTCGTTTTATATATTTGTGGCATATTTCGGCCAATGTACATGGCACAGTAAGTACATTGTGGGGACTTCTAACTTGGTCGGTAGATGTATTCATTAAAAACATATAAATATTGTTTGTTATTGTCAGTATAATTTTTTTTTTGCACCGACAATTTTACACACACGATACATATATTTTTATTTTGAAATTCTTTTTCTTTTTTCTTAAATAGAATCTCTGATTTAGACTTACTCATACAATAAATTTTTCATTATTAGTGTTTGAAACCCTATTATATAACTACAAGTTTCTTTAATATGTGGCATAAATACTTAGATGTAGGGGTGAGCAAATTCGGTACAAACTAAATTCATACCCGAATTCAATTTCAATTTAGTAATTTGAAATCGAGTATTTGGTAATTTGGTACAAAAGCGGTATTTGTTAATTGTTATATGACTATAATAATGCAAATATACAACAACACATAACATAACTATAATACTTATTATTTTATACATGACTAGAATTAGATAATAATTAATAAGTAGAGGTATAATACTAAATATTAAATAATAAACATAATTAGTAATTAGAATTTAGATATTGGTAATTTGGTATATCATTCATGTTTGAATTATTGATATTTGAATGCGTAACTTGTAACTTGCAAGTATTAGTGTGCTCTAAAATTACATTACATATTTAACATAAAAATTCATATTCTCTATTCATTAATCTTAAGGTTTTAAGTATAGACAAGACAACTAAGCAGTCTAAGTGAATGCATATAAATTGCAAATCAATGTATTAGTGCATTGGCTTTCATTATTAAAAGCAAATTGGTGTTGTAGCCTGTAAATTTGTAATTAGATTGATTACAATAGCAGCATAGCTATTAAACTTGATAACATGGTTTAATTAGGCTAGAAATTGCAATTAAAGGATTCAATAGAATTTTTATATTTTTTTAACCGAATTCATTACCGTTTCCGAATTCAAATTCGGAATTGAAATGAATTCGTGTATCTGCAATTCGAATTTGAAAGCGGTTTAAATTTCTGTAAGTCCAATAACTTAATTTACCAAATTCATATACCCGAATTACCGAATATGCACCGTTTGCTCACCCCTACTTAGGTGTTATTTGGATTGCAAATTTTAAAGATTTTTTATAAAAAAATTACTATAACACTTTTTAAGGATGCAATGTATGTAAAGTTAAAAATTAAGTTGATTGAAAAACGTGTTTACAACTTTAAAAATTTTTCATCAAAAAATCACAATTCAAACAAAAATCACAAAAAAATGACACCATCACGAAATAAATTCATCTTGCCATACAAACTAGTCTAAAGACCAGATAACATGGAAAAAGAACAGAAGAAAAGAAGAGACCAAATTATAAGATTTTATATATATCTTTATATCTTATAAGAAGACGTTTTTATTCCTGTTCATTGGCCATTTTTGTCCATAAAATTTCATCTGCTCACTTCAGGGGCATTTTTGTCCGTGAAGTCCATGCTTAGGATGTTGTACGTTGGAGTGCACTTTGTGATGATTGTGCTTTGTACGTTGCACTCTTGGTTTACTGCTTTAGGACTGTGGAGCCCACTTTAACATTCCACTGCAACATTCTGCTTCTCATTGTGGTTCAGGGCCATCAGGCTCCTTCCCGTTTCACATATTATATATATATATATTTTTTTTTGTCAAAATGATAACATTTGTATTGATTTAAACTTGATACTACAAGAGCACTTTACAAAAGGAGCTCATTGCTCTCATAATCTATTCTTACTAGATCTTTAATCCAGCCAGGGAAACATGATTCCCGTTTCACATATTATATACGTTGGAGATTTTTGCTTTCTTGCTTGTGGACCGTGGACCCCACATTGATTGTATGTATAGTTGTGTGGATTGGGAAGAAAAAATATATATGTCCTCTTGAAATTAACTTGAGTTAAATTAAATGATAATGGATGTTTCCAAATTATTCAATTAAAAATATTAATTTTTTTAAAGAATTAAACTCCAATTAAACTGTTGAATGAAAATTAAATTAAACTTTTGGAAAAAATTAAAAAAAACTTCAACTAAATTATTGAATTATATGATGATAGACCTAATAATCATCAAAAAAAAAATGAAGAATTATTGTAGACATAATAATCGCAACTCATAGATATAGAAATATTAGATTTCTGAATTAAAATTAAAATTCAACTCCAATCAAAAGATGGAGTTAAATTAAGAATGGAGAATTAAAACTCCAATTAAACTCCAATTAAACTTCTGAATCTGAATTAAAATTAAAATTACACTTTTGGGAAAGATCAAAAATAAATTCAACTGAATTATTGAATTAAATGATGTTTTCATCATTTAAGGTCATAGACCTAACAATCATGAAAAAAAATCAAGAATTATGGTAAACATAATAATTTGGAGGTCATTAGAATTGTCCTTACATATACATAAGAAGCATATATGCATTAGAAATGTTCTACAGTGGTGCCGCTTTCAAGTGAAGAACACGTTTTGGGTCCTGTTCATTGGGCATTTTTGTACTTAAAATTTCATCTGCTCACTTCAGGGGCATTTTTGTCTTCTAGCTTTTCATCTGCTGCAAGCTTTAGCCGAATGTTGTAGAAGACGTTTTGGGCAGCCTTAGCCGAATGTTGTAGAAGACGTTTTGGGTTCCTGTTCATTGCAATTTCATCAGCTCTCTTATAAGAAGACGTTTGGAGGTTCCTGTTGCTTGTTGGAACTGCTATTGGAACTGCTTGTTGCCGATGTCAGTGGAACATTCGCTGTTTTACACCATTTACAAGAAGCATTAATGAGATGTGACGTTGATTTCTGCCAGCTAATTTTTTCTTGTTTAATTACATTTTTAAGAAGGCGTTTGGTGGTTCCTGATCATTACAATTTCATCTGCTCTTCTGGGGCCAATTTTGTCGTTTCAACCTCTTGCTTATTCTTTTTCTTGCAGCTGGTACAACTGCTTGGTGCATTTGTTTAGACAATATGTCTTTTTTGCCCTTATTACAAGTCTTACCCGGAGGTTTAGTAGAATGTGGAGATCGTAATATTGGTTGGAGAGTGTTTTGAACATTTGATAGATGTGATGGGAGGATTTGATAGAATAGCTCTTTATTACTTTTCTAGCCCTCTAGATTCTAATTATATGGATGGGTTTCCATCCAACTATGCCTTTTTACGTAATTTAGCCTTTTTAACTTTTTACCCATTCTTGGAGACCGTTTTCCCTCTGAGTTCTGTCGGTCATTACTCTTCTTTGCAATTCATCCCCTTTTCTCTGTGTTTTCACGATAGCCTTCTACTTTTGTTATGGAAATTGTTCTTTATTTGACTCCATATCTGCTTTTATGTTTTCCCCGCCAGCTACCGCTGCTTCACTTAACATAAGCTTCTGAAGCCACTAGCCCTTTTGAGGCCATTTCTATCTATTACCAGATATTTGCCAATCCTTCATCTTCCTTCATCTTCTCCAGAGGCCCTAACAATAAAGGAGCAGGCCATTTTTTTAGTACTATCCAGTTTTATATATACGTCACTCAAACCCACAAAAATAACAGGCGAAGGAGAGGAGCACGGAAAACCACCACCACCTTTTTCTTCTTTTCATACTTGCGGGAAAACACAGGAGAGTCTTTGAGCAAGAAAATGTATAGCAACGGAGACTCTTCTTCTCCGGAGGACTCCAATGGCGAATCAAATGAAAAGGCTCAGAGATCGATCAGAGGTATTAATTTTTCCCACGTATCTGATTTAGTTTTGCAGTTTGTGATGCGATTTGGGTAGTTCCATGTCATCTAGAAATTGTTTGTTGCGCAGAAAGTGGCTAAAACGAAAGAGATGTTGTCGAAGCAAGCAGGTCAAACCAAACAGATCTTTGTAAATGACTTTGCCAAACGTGTTATTTCAGAAAAGTTATTTCAGAAGACATATTTTTGACTTGGAGTGAGACCCAATATCTCAAACTTCACCAATGCCTTGTGTTTCACAACTTTGCACAATCACATAAAGACTGTACAGTCCAAGAAACAAGGATCAATAATATCTATCCACCACGAAAATAAGAAAAAAAAAAATCTATGATGCCTATTAATATCTACAACTTGCAAGTCCTGAAAAGTGGCTTGAACGATAAATTTTGGGATATTATTATATCAGAGGAGACTTAAGAGTAATTTTTCTTTGTTTCACACCTTATAAGCCTCAATTGGATAACACTGCATTATGTTTCAGAAGGAAATACTAATAATAGAACCCCTAGAAAGTCAAAAAGATTTTGGAAGATCTGCAGTCCGGATCCCCAAATGAGCCAAAAAATTTTCCTCAGTAGTTCTGTCCCATTAATATGAAGATTAGAGTTGCAACTTAAAGAATAAGATCAAGAAAAGAAAGCACCAGACGATAGCTTCAATATCTCTCACTAAAAGATAGAATAAATTTTATTTCAAAAAACGAAAACAAACCTGTGCGAAGCAATCAAACACGCATTGCAAACAAACCTGTGGGCATCAATTATCTGGACGAAAATGAAAGACCACGAGACAAAAGCATGCAGATATGGAAACAATTGCTGAAAATGACTTGACAGGAATTTGAATAATAACTTCCTTTCTTGCATAAACTTGGAATAATCCTACAGCAAGTTAGTCAATGAGTGAGTAAATTTCTGAGGCTTTCTAGCAAGTCAAGAAAACTGGTCCTGCTACCAGTTCGAATTTTTAATGTTCATTATCAGTTTGTTGCAGGTTTAGATGGTCCACATTGGTACATGAATGTTCATAGCTGTTTTCTTTGAATTCTTGATGCAAATGCCCACATGCGGGTTTGATGAACTAAAAGTGTATACAGGACAGACAAACATTTGCCTCATCTGGAGAATACAGGGCAATGACTGACATGTGAGCAACATACCCACCATATGATGCATAATAAACAGATCTTTGCCAAACGGGCTGAAGAGCACGAAAGATTCATCAACAAGGTAATCAAGTAACTGACCGACCAAAACCCACCATATGTTTGTCAGATGGTCTCAGTAGCTATTAAAAGAACAACTTTGTAGCTCATATTTGTTTCCGGGATTCATTGTTTATTTACTTTTACTAGCATCTTTGCTTATGGTTTGGTGACCTGGGATGTCGATTTTAGGTTGCACTGATTGGGAGCTTTTTGGGTTGATAGGTGACTTATTTGTTGAGTGTTCTTGGGTTTGGAACATTCTGCTTTCTGTTGGGTGCCAGTGAGTATTACATTCTTGAGATTTGATAATTCAGTTATCTTTATCCCTCGAATAATTAGTTAGGCCTTGTGGATTGTCATTTGCTAATTTGTTTTTGTGGTTCTTTTCTATTGTGGCGCAGGGCCTCAAGATGTCCCTTATGCATATTGTTTGCTCTCTATCATATTTGTTCCTCTACGGTGGATTTATTATCGATACAAGAAATGGCATTATTATCTCTTGGTAAGCTCTTCCTGTTTTGCAACTTCTTGTTTTGGCCCATTTAACTATACGAATATTTTTTGTTTTGCGTATCTCGGTTATTTAGATGTTTTGTCGAAGAGGTTCTAGAGTCTTAATTAGACAAAATCACTCTATGTTTAGTTGGAATTCTGATGGTACATGTTATCTGTGAATTTTTCTGTTTCAGTGTAGACTTCATCTCCTACAAAATGTACTTTCTCTTGTGTCACTATGTACTTCTTTTGCCATTCAGGACTTCTGCTACTACGCCAACACACTATTCTTGGTCATGCTTCTTTGTTTTCCTAGAAATGAGAAGTTTTTCATGATTTGCTTCTCTTTTGCAGAGGTAAGCAATCAATCTGGAGATGCCTTGTTTTCATCTAAATGGCATTAAGATTTGCTTCTTTATGTCTTGACTCCTCACATAACTGCAGGGTCCACTGGCTTGGGCACTGATTGTGTGGAGATGCAGCTTAGCCTTTAATTCTTTCGACAAAATTGTAAGCGTCTTCATACATCTTTTGTCTGGTAAGTTGGACATCCTTCTCTACAAAATAAGACAAAGGAACTTAAGAACCTTTTGATCCAACTTCGGCCCTTCTTTTCCTTGATCCCCAAAGCAAAAGCTGCAAAAATTATCTGTGGAATTCTTGATACGGTGGCCAAAATACCTGCCGCATCTGATGTTCAGATTGCCCTATGCAAGGAAATTGTGCAATAGACACGTGATGAGAAGTGAACTTTCCTTCGTTAGCGCACTGAGGCAAAGCTTGCAGCTCTATTGATGGAGACCAAGGAAGAATCCGAAACTTTAGCTCTCCTTTCTGGACCAATCAAGGAGGTGAGAGGATATAGCTTTCATTTTATATGGTCTTTTGCACTTGTATAATTTCTCTCATGGGAAAGTTTCATGTTTTATGTCTCTGCAGGTTCAGAATATAGGAAAGCTTCAGCTGAGTCCATTAAGTGCTCTTTTTATCACTTGAATTTCTTCATTTCCAACCTCCCATAACTCAAGTACTGATTTACCTTGACATCTTTGCTCAAAAAGCATCCTTTAGTTGATAAAAACTTCTTTTCCTGCAACTGCTTCATAATTTCATACTACAGACCAGCTTTTATGTATTAATTATTTTTCCAGGACTTGGAACAACTGAATGTTGAACAAACAGCTCAAGAAACTTAAGCACATAATCAATAACTAATATGTTTCCTTGCTCCAAATCATTATGTTGTCTCAAAAGTTGAGACAAGTCCAAATCTATTTGTTTAAGTTTTGTTTTACCTTCTTTTATGATAGCCATGATATAAAAAATGATGCAGTGTTTCTTAATGAGTTTGAAGACCAAATCTGACTTAAAAATAAATAGGAATGGAATAAAAGAAATGTAGGAATCACATCTAGGTTTTACTACTGTGTTACCATTAATTGCTCGAGTCTTGATGAACTTTGAATTCGATAAGTGCAATTCTAATAAGTATTATTGACGATTTGGAATTCTACTTTTGGAGTTCGAAAGTTGGAGTCAAGTTATGCTCCTAGAATACATGCTCTTTTTTTTTAGTGTCTTATCAGACAATTTCACATAATTATTTATCTAAATGTTGATGTTTGAATAGTTTATCTAGAAAATTGCATAAAAAGCGATTTTTCTGATATGATCTAGAGAACCATTTCATGAGTATTGAACTTTGTCCCTTCTAAGTACCCCAAAGAACCTTACGCCCAGCCTTCTGCATTTAGATTGCGTAGAATTCTATGATCCCCAATTGTTCCTCGTTCTGGAACTGCTCAGAATCTAGGTAACCTTGGGAATGACTTTTGGTAAACGTAACAAGTCCCTCATGAGAGACTGGTATCATACAAAATATGGAAACCAATGTTTCATTTCCATTCTTTAACCTCCTTATCAGAAAGAAATAGATCCAGCATGGCAGACTGGTAGAAAATTGAAAGTTTCAAGGATCTAAAGGAAAACCAACTCATAACTAAGGCTCTCAATCTTAATTTCTAAGAGCTATCATTTGTGTAAATTTGTCATCAGAAGATTCATATTATGTCCGAAGTATTCTAGGTAGGATGTTATTCTTGAATTCTGCCTTCAAATAAATCATGGTTAGATAAATACTAAATTTTGACTATAAAGGGGCATTGGTACTACATAACTTAACTATGCATTTCTTTTTAACCATGGCATGCACGTCTTACTTATTTTTCTATTATATGCTTTTGTGTCTCAGCTAAAGCTATAGACGAATGTCCTGACCTCAAGACCAAGGCTGCTGAGTCAAATAAAGCAGCAAAGATAGATTCAAGATCAAAATCCATTGTTGAAAGGATGCTTGATAAGTATGTAAACTTCTGAAATGCTAGATTACACTATAGATTTAAACTTTTTCTCATTATCTCATTTTTGGACCTCCCTGTAGGTTTATAACTAACAGAAAACATCAATAAGCTGTGAGAATAGCCATAAAATACCAAAGATTGGATAAGATTGAGGAAGCAGTTATAAGAAGTGACAACATTTAAGTAACCCTATACTATTGTAATCAGGTCTCTCACAGTTTTGTCAGCTCTAGAAAATATTAGTGTGACGTGGTTATATCTATCTAATTCATTCTTGTTAACCTTGTTCATAATTCTAATTCATTCTTGTTAACCTTATTACTAATTCTAGAGAACATTAGTCCAAATATATTAGATGTCAAAATTTGAGAAATTCTGACCCTCAACTACTTTAATGCAGATACAACGTCTTCTTGTTAGAGTATTCCAAAAACTGCCATCACCCCATTATTTAAGCATATGTCAGCTTCTCATGTTTTTTGGATAGACCAGAGGACATTGCAGCTGTATTTGAGAAACTCTTAAGAACAGAAAGCAATAATGATGCTTTATTGGGATTTCAAATAGCATTTAACCTTGTAGAGAATGAACACCAAGCTTTTCCTTTGAAAATGAAGGACCAACTTTCCAGTCTCAAGGAAGATGTTTATGCTGAGAGGTTATGAAAAATAAAAGGAATACTGTCTGGAGAGACTTCCATACAGTTGACATTGCAATTCTTATATAGTTATTATAACTAAGGCATTTTCCCTATTTTCTTTTCTTCTCTTCCCAAGATAGTTTCTCAGTTTACTAGATTTCTTTGAAGTATTTGACTAATTGTTGGTTTTTTGCATATTACATTGCATGTCCTAATTCTCAACACAATAAAGCAATCTGTTGAGATGAGAAATAATATTTGTCATAATGCAACTATATACGCTAATAGCATTATGCATGCTGTCAGAACCGTCAGCACCTTACTGTGCACCTGCTTTGCTCATCATTTTATATGTTGCATAATGATAAACGTAGTCATTTCTATCTAACATTTTGTATTTGTTTAAACTCTCAGAACTGGCTCACCCGGGCTACAAATTAGGTTAAGTTTAGCGCAACAGCACTATGAGAAACACAAGCATTGTCTACTATAGGGAAGGCATAAATCAGTTCCTGTGTGATAGTCTAACAAGCGCTAATGCTGAGGTATTTGCCTTGTTGTGTTAAGTAAAAAAGTACCTATTTTTATCTTTGCACTTTTCCTCCTTTTTTAAAAATTGTCTCCTACAAGTTATTCAACATAGTACCTACCTTAAAGAATGTCCTTTACTTGGACATCTCTGCTTAATGTCTATAATCTATTTCTAAAATTAAAAGCTAAATGAATTCTCTCTTTTTGTGAAAAAGAGAAATCAAAAGTCACTTGGACATTTCTAACGATTTGGCATTGGGGATAGCTCTTGACAGTTTATGGAACAGAAGAAGCAACTGATACACTGATTGAGCAGATAACTTGGGATCAAGACCCCATACTACGTTATGGATAAATGTATGCATTTGCATTGGCTTACAGTAGAAATGCAAACAACAAGGCCATTCGACAGCTGCTGCATTTTGCTGCATCAGAATTGAGTGACAATGTTAGGCACACTGCAGTTTTGGCACTGGGTTAGTTTCTCTTACGTTCAGGTTTGGCACTTGCATATGGTTTATGTTCTAGGCTATAAGAATTTGACAACAAGGCTTTACTTCTCCAAACAACTTTTCATATGATGTATTCGCTCTTAATTTTTTCTAACCTTCTACAAGGATCGATGAAAATGCACATATTGAACAATCCATCTAATTGAGTTGCTAATCTTAAAATGTAGACTCCTCAAATCGTCTCCCTGCTCTCTGAATCATATAATCCACATGTTCATCATAGTCCAGTTCTTATGTTTGGCATATCATGTGCTGGTACTGGTCTGAGCGAGGCCATATCATTGCTGGAGCCTTTGACATCAGATGTGCCAGCGATTCCCTGATTAACAGTGATTCCCTGATTTTTTTTGCCTTATTTAATAGACGGCAATTGGAAAAATTTATTCTGGATAAGCATCAGGACACTATGAGCAAGATGCTTGCAATTTGAGCATTAGGAATGTTGGATGCCACTATTCACTGATTTAACCTGAGCATAAAATCTCATTAATGCTGTACAATAATAACTCATAAGTATTAATCTTCTTGTTTCATTTTCTTCTCTACATCAGAAGTATACAGACTCTTATTTCTTCTGCTGCATCCATTTTAGATTACATCAACATAATGGATATTCAGTGTTTTCCCATCTATTACTACCTCTATGCTATTATACTCGCACCTTCTCCACATACCAACTCCCCTGCTGTTACTTTGACTAAAACTTACCAACTCCCCTGCTGTTACTTTGACTAAAACTTTCCTACTTGTGTAATGAAGATTGAGAAACGCAGCATTTTCATTTCACATTTAGTCACAATAGATGCATGATCTTTTTATTATAGAATAAAAAAAATGTTTTTGTTGACAATGCTTTATGTTGGATTTTTTTTAGTTGTTACAAGCTTTGCTCACGGACAATTTTGTAATTGGTAGATTCATGGTGCTGCAGAAAGGAAATCAGAACTGGAGCTCTTTGAATGGACTAAGCATTTTGAGCTCATGTGTAACACATAGTTCACGACACAAGCCTGAACTAGCGTGTCAGTTATTGCTTTTTTTTATTTATATATATATATATATATATATAGCAGCATGGACGTTATTCTTTTACTTTTATAACAGGAAACTCATTCTATTGATTTTTGCTCACACTTAATATCAGAGCCTAAAACATCATGCAGTGAAAGCAATTGCTCATGCTCATTCATTGTAAGACACTTATTGCGCTTATAGATTGTGTATACAACTTCCGCATTGCTATTATTATCTGTTTCTTATTTTCGCTTCTTTTTCTCTTTCAACATTTTCCCTTCCCTCACCCGTGCATAATTCTCTATATATTTAATCAAGTTTGTTTTGTCTTCATTACTTCTCAGTACAATGACAATTTCAAGCAGTAATCAATTATATAAAAAACTCAGACCAGTTCTCCTCTGCTCATCAAACAGAAAAGTGAAAATCAGGAATTGCGTAAACTCAGTGACACCTTACTAATATATACTACTTTTCCATGGTAAGGAACCTTGCTAACAGGTCTAAAGTTGCTAACAGGTCTAAAGTTCCCACGCCTTGCGTGGGAAGCGACCCCTAGTATATATATATATTGCAATGGTGATGGTTGGTAAACTTGCATCATTGGTAACATCATGGATAGCACTGCATCAAATACGCAGCAACTTGCTAAAAGGATAAGTTTGATGACAAGTTGCCAACTACATAATATGTAAAATATAAATTCGGGCAGGCCAACTTGCCTGCCTTTGCAGGCTGCAGGCTGCAGCTGCCCTGCCACCCTACCCGCTGCCCTTGGCCCTAGAATCAAAGTATCTTCTCCAGCACCGTCAAGAAACTTAGTATAAAATGCATAAAAACCCTAGTGAAAGAATTCTTGTATTGGTTTTTGCCTCTCTTCTCCTTCACAAGTTTCTCCCCTTCTACCATTTCTCAGGTTCAGTTGAAGCCTAAATGGCTATATCTATAAACAAGCTTTTTTACGCATGTTCTTCTATTATGGTCAGTGAAAACTTGTACATTTACGATTTATTCTACATGCCAAGTGATGTTACAAGACTTTAATCATTTATTTTTATGCAAGCATGGTGTTTATATCATAAAATCTCAGGCAATTAATCATCAAGGTATAGTGTTTATTGAGTTGAAACTTGAGCTGAATCCATGCTTTCCTTTTTTTTTGAAGATACATATTTGAAACAATTAGTACCATTTTTTTGGGTCAAAATATACATCCTAAAGAAGCTTATTTTTTTGATTGGTTATAGTGCTATTTGAGTTCCATATTGGGTAAGTTATGTGATATTTTGTGCTAAATGAAAATTTTTTGGCATTCAATTGATTTGTGCAAAAACTTCCATCCGCATGCGACTTATAATGGGCAGAGCGGCCATATTTTGCAAAGAGTGAAAATGTATAAAGCAAAAACTCTTTTAGTTTGTGCTTTTGCTGTTTCTAAGAGGTTAAATTTAGGTATGTCGAATTAACCTACTTAGTTGTATCAGCAGACAGTTTTTGAAATTTGATTATTTTTTTCCAACCCTAAAAAAAAAAAGATATCTACGGCATCATAATGACCCTAATATGATTTGCAGAAAAGAAAAAAAAAAAAAGAGGTACTGTTGGGCAATCCTTTTTGGCATGCTTTGTGTTGTAACGCTACATCATAATATTTAAAATTTGGTCTGCTTTACTTTTGATAGATTTACCCTTTCCCTTTATAGAGTTTTGATAGGGAATCTGACGGCAAAACCACAAAATTAGTTTAATGTGATATTTTAATGGGTTGCAGTCATGGGTCCATGATACGTCGTTGAAATTACAAAGGGATTCTTTGCATATTTTCAAACGATAAGTCGTTTTTGACTTTTGTGTGGGCATTTTGCGTATTTGATCATTTTTTTCTCTTTTTTTTTCATAACAAATATGTCGTTATGGTTTATATTGGATCTGTGAACAATGGAAGAATAGTTACTTATATTTCACAATTTTTTTGGTTAAGTCATTTATGTTTAAAATGATGCAAAATAGTTCTTCACTTATTTAAAACGTATCGATCTATTTCAAATCCAATTTCAGCCTATTTTCTGATCACGAAAAGCTATTTTACTATTAAATTAGTATTTTTTACATTGAAAGGCCAATTTGGATGATTTTAAATGTCGGTGAGTAAAAATAATTTTCAAGATGGCAGAACCATTTTTATCATTTTTTCCAAATAGAGTATTGGAAATCAATGTAAAACACTAATTAAACCATTTTGTTGATAATATCAGCAGAACTCATCAAAGTTAAAAAGTAGAAGTATAAAAAACTGTATGAAAAATATAAGACCAATTATAATGATTATTAGGACTGTGTTATTTTTCCAGGCGAATCATCTGAAAGCTCTAAAGAACCAAACACAAAATAATATACCCACAAATGACAACAGAGGCTTTTTTGAGTTAAGATAAGTGAACCGCGCGATAATCAAACTTTGCAAAATACTAAGATTAAAAAGGCAACAAGAAAAGCAAAGACAGCTGATAATATATGAGGAATAGTTTTAAGTAGGATTGGAGAAACTTTGCTATTTTATAAAGGGGGCATGAATTTTTTTTTTAATTCTTGCAATTAGAGCTGTCAACGGGTGAGGGCACGTGCCAGAATTGAACATTTCAGATCTGGACCAGTTTTAGTACGCATATTTCGGATTTGACCCGTATACCTGACGGGTCTTATACTTGATCTTCTGGATTCGGGCCTGACGGGTCCCGGATACTGGTCGGGTCGGATACAGGTCAAGTCAAATCGGATATGGGTCGAACTTATAATAAATATATATTTTTATAATTGTTAATTTATTATATAATGAGTATTATTGTATTAATATTATATATATTTTATAATTATTAATTTATTTAAATGGGTTTGGGTCAAATACGGGTCAAAATGCAATATTCCGTCTTCGACCTGCTGTTTTATTAGGAAAAATGTGTCTAGGTTCGAGTCAAATAAATGGAATTATATTTGTACCCTTACCCATAAAAAATTAGTGGGTCTGAGGCAGATCTTGGTCTAGATCTGGATCGTTGACAGACCTACTTACAACTGTATACAATTTTGTGATGAGTGTAAACATCAATGACAAAATTTTCTATTGAGTTAAATTTATAATTAACGTTTTCCTATTTATTTATTTTTTAGAATCTTTTTCATGTAACTGCTTTCAACTTTATTTAAAATACTGTTCTAATGCCAGTCTTTTTCTATGGCTTGGGTATTGGAATTTAAGGAATTAAACTTAAAAATTATCCATTTGGAAAAACAACAAAAATAGTCCCTTATATTTTATAAAATCTTTTTTGTCCCTTACGTTAAATGATGTAGAATGGTCCCACAAGTATGTAAACTTTTCTAATGTAGTCCCAAAGTGGCCGAAAATATGTTTGAATTGTTTGCACCAACTTAGTGGAAAAAAAAAGATTTTTTTGAAATGGGAGGCACTATTTGTGTTATTCTACATCTATATAAAAGAACAAGTAACCCCTGCCCCTGAACATTTCCCTATATTTCACTTTGCCTCTTGAACTTAGTTCCCTAACACCCGTACCCCTAAACTCTTTATCGAGTTTCAAATAAGAACTCTCATTTTTTCCCCCTCCTTTACTTCTTTTTTTTTTTAAAATTCTTTCTATTGTCTTTCTTTCCTAGCGGGTGCATTTGTATTCACATTCTAAAACTTTATATGACTCTAATTAACTATAAAAATTGTTGGAAATAATAATGCTTATGAGAAATAGTTTACCCTCTTCACAAAATTTGTCAAATATAATCCTTCTGAAGTTAAAAAAATAAAAATCATCATACTTTCACAGTGGTTTCAATTTTTGGCTTCCAATGTTCCTGATGCCTTGCCAATTTGAATTACATTCTAAATTTCGAATAAAATCGATAAAAAAATGAACGAGAGAGTTAAAAAAGGCAAATGAAAGAAAGAAAAGAATACATGACGAAAGAAACACTAATTTGAGATGTGTAACTCTCATTATTATATCAAAACTATTTTCAATGTGCAGCAACAACAATATTCATGAGAGTCATTGTTAGTAACTTTTGTATAAAATTTAAGGATAATTTCAGAAACCTTCCATTGATGTTTCTGACAATTTCACTGAGCTCCCTTGACGTTTTCAATATTACACTTACCTTCCTTGATGATAGACAATGACTATAATAACCTTCATAATTTTTCAAAAGACAGGCCGTTGATAAGAAAGGGAAAAAGATAAAAAAAAAAGGAAAATAAAAAATGGGAAACAATTCTTCTTGACTAGGTCACATATTGTGGCCAAACTATTTTAGTCATGGCCATTAAATTGTAATTTTCTATCACTCAAATACGTTGATCAAGGAAGATGTCTCCTTCCTTATCATCAGCTTGCCATCACATCCCTACAACTGTTCTAAAAAATTCTCTTGAATTCCTGATCTCCTAAAAGCTAATTCGAAACCTATAACTTTTTTTTATTCTGCCATCCTACTCATTACAACGTTGGTATCACTATCCATAAATTGAAATAGAATGAAAATCTAAAATTTTCATGCCAATTCGGTAAGGCCAAGAGTTCAAGTAGGTTAGCCATTCAACTATGGATTTGCTGGTTGAATTAGTGGCTATATAACATAACAAAATGTAATTAGCCAATCGGTTGTTGAACTGGCTAGTTTTTTGGATTTTATTGGTTGACCTGACGGGTTATCAAACAATCAATATGTTCTTTCTTTATTTGGTCTAATTACTAATCCGGCATACTTAGGTAGTGGTTCACCTGGTTGACTAGTTGAATTGTCTGGTTTGGCCGAATTTAGTAACTATAGGTAAAATTATTCGTGTTTTACACAAAATAGAAACTTTTTATCAAGTCGAGGCTTGTTTCTGAAATACTAAAAATATTTTCAACTATTTAAGAAACACCTAAAATAAAAATCAATAAATCAAAGTTGTAAATCATTTATTTTCAGTTTCACCCATTCGCCACCTTACCACCTTACCACCCAATCATCCAATTTCAAAGTTGTAAATCAAAGCTGTAAATCATTTATTTTCATTATTCCACCTTACCACCTCATCTAAGTACAATGATTACATATTCCTTTAAAAAGTTGATTTTCTGAAAAACGACTCAAATTATAGAACAGAGGGACTATTAATTTTGAACATTGATAACGGTTAAACATATGAACCATTTGAATTTGATATTATTATTTGGATCGGATCTAGATTGATTTAATTGGCTTAAATTTGATCCATTTAAAGCCCAAAATTGGCCTAAACTCCAACTCATTATTTCTCGTACGACACATGCTGTTGTCCAACAAAACATATAAACTAAATTCGTTTTTGTTTTTGAAATAGTACTATGAACTAAATTCGTTTATGTTCTATTTTGTCTTTAAAAAAAAGGTGATTTGTTCTGTTCATAGATAAAAAACAAAACAAAAGAGAAAAAGCACGAATATTAGCATACGGCCAACTTGGGGAAAAAAAAGAATTAAATTCTAAAAGTTAAAAATGTCGCAAAGAAATTTTAATTACATCTTTCGAGCTGATGTAGTAATTTTTACCAACAGAAAATAGCTAAAATATTTCTTTCTACTTATTTAATATCAAGTGGGGGGGGGGGGGTGTTTCACAAATGAATTTATGAATTTGAAACTTAAACCAAGAAAAACTAAGAGCAGCATGAAGACTTCACATTGAATTAACATTCCGTTTCTGAAATCAAAGCATCTCAGGACTCATGTACAGCATGAAAGAAAATAAGAACAAAACTAATGAAGAAATTTTACAAAACACAACGGTGTGAAAAATTTTAGATGAATAAGATGTAGAACAAAAAAGGGACTCTTTTCTGATTTGTGATAAACTCAATTTCAGATAGAAAATGAATGTTAACAGGAGAAATCTGCTTGTTTAGTGAAGGCACCAAGAGGCGAAGTGTTCTCTTCCCAGTAGTCTTCAGTACTCTTTATTTCTTCCCCATACACCCATTCTTCCTCTCCCTTTTTGTATTCAAGTCCACTAGTTTCTGAGCAAGAAATTGAAACTTCTCTCCAGTTGCTCCAGATTCTTAGCATGATATAAAGCAAAGCCAAGCAAATGAGCGTTGATGTGAAGACGATGGCCACTATGATTCCAACCACTGCAGTATTTGACAGCTCTTTCTTCCCATGTCGTGCAGATTCCAGACATGATACTAGCGGTGGGCCACATAGCTTATCATTGCCTAAGAAAGAACTTAGTGGGAATCCTGAAAAAGTTGATGGAAGTTCCCCTTGGAGGTTATTATTTGAGAAGTTTAGCCTGTGAAGACTTGAGAGTTGGCCAAGTGACGATGGAACTTTTCCTTCTAGTTGATTGAGAGAGAGGTTTAGTCTTTCTAACTTCACGAGATTTCCAAGAGATGGAGGGATTTCACCAGAAAGGGAATTCTTGCTCAGGTCTAAAATGACTTGTAGTTCAGTTAGGGTGCCAATCTCTGATGGTATCGAGCCGGTTAAGTTGTTCTCAGAAAGCCTGAGCTCATAGAGTTTCTTGCATTGTTGGATGGTTGGTGGAATGGGACCAGAAAGATTGTTACTTTGAAGATTCAGGACATTCAGAGACGTAAGATTGCCAATGTCAGATGGGATTGTTCCAGAAAGGGTATTGCTGCCGAGAGAGAGTTTAAGTAAGCTTGAACAGTTGCCAAGCTCTACTGGCACTGTTCCATTGAACTTATTGAATGAGAGATCTAGTTCCCCAAGGTCTTCCATACTCCCTAACCATGTAGGAACTGTTCCTGAAAAGGAATTGTTGTTAAGGAGAAGGTGTTTAAGCTTTTTCAAACCGGAAAGCTCAAGTGCCAGCTCTCCTGAAAGATTATTGGAAGACAAATCAAGGAAGTAGAGCTCCTTGAGCTGGCCTAAATGAGGAGGAATGCTACCAGTGAGAATATTATTTGCAAGTCGGAGACGAGTCAGGTTTTTAGACATGGCTAAAGTAGAAGGAATTAGGCCTGAGAAACTGTTATTTGTCAAGTCTAGAAGTGTCAAAGAATTTGAACCTGACAAGGGAGAAAGGGTTCCACTAAATCTATTGTGAGAAAGATTTACAATCCCGAGGTTTTTCAGAAGGGAAAGAGATTCTGGAAGTGGACCTTCAAATGAGTTATTGTAAAGGCTTAACATGATCAGCTGGGAAAGGAATCTGAATGTTGGTGGCAATGTTCCGGATAGTTTGTTGTCAGCCAAGGTCAACTTTTGAAGCTTTTGGCAGTAGCCTAGGCTTGGTGGTATTGAACCTGACAAGTCATTCTGCCTCAGCAGTAGAAAAGACAGATTCTTTAGCCTTCCAATTGTTGCAGGAATTGAACCTGAGAAACGGTTTCCAGAGAAATCAATCTCAATTAAGCTGCTGCAGTTTGTTAGCTCCATCGGAATGCTTCCTGACATCTGGTTGTCATACAGATAGATAATGCTCAAGCTCTGAAGCTTTCCTATTTCAAGAGGGATTGCTCCTGTAATCATGTTGTCAAACAGATAAAAAGAAACTAAGTTGCTCATGTTTCCAATCTCTGGAGACAGAGTTCCACTAAAGCTGTTATTGTTGAGCAGAAGATCTGTCAATTTCTCTAATCTTTCAAGGCTGGAAGGTAATGATCCCTGAAAGTTGTTACCCGATAGATCCAATTGTTGAAGGGACGAGCAATTCAGTATCTGCATGGGAAAGCTACCAGATAAATTATTTCGAGCCAGAAAAAGCTGTTGAAATTTGGAATCAGGAATGCAGAGACTTCCAGGAATGCCACCAGTCAAAAAATTATCAGATAGAGCTAAAGCCTGAAGATTTTTCAGCTGAGAATTGGATAGATTAATGAGCCCTGAAAGCTTATTTTCTGATAGGTCAAGCACCTCAAGCTGGCTTAATTGGTTAAGCTCTACCGGGATTTGGCCATCCAATTCATTCCCGTGCAAGTTCAGGTACTGCAACTTGGACCCAAACTTGGTCGGAATTCCCCCAGAGAGGCTGTTGTTGGCTAAGTTGAGGATTTCAAGTGACTCAAGGCTTCCAATTGAAGCAGGAATTTTTCCTTCAAGTCTGTTGTTTGATGCTGCAAAGTCCTGAAGGTCAGTACAGCTACCGATCTCGGGTGGAATGGGACCATCAAGATCGTTCTCCTGCAAATCAAGAGCTTTCAAATGCTTCAAGTTTCCAATTTCTTTTGGTATGCTTCCATTGAACTGGCAATATGCAAGTCCCAGAACTCTCAGTTCAGTCAAGTTACCGATTTCAGGTATAACTTGGCCAGTTAACAAGTTATCTCCTATTCTCATAACTTGCAACTTCTTCAGAAGACCAATCTCTGCAGGAATTATCCCAGAGAAAGAGTTAGCGAAAAGCAGCAATTGCCTTAGCTCTTGAAGCTTACCAAGATCAGGTGGGACCATTCCAGTTAGAGAATTCATCGACAAGTCGAGAATTTGGAGAGAGCTGAGCTGTGACAGTTGAGGAGATACTGAACCTATTAGTCCTGAACCTGAAAGATTCAGACTGACGATATTAACTTGATCGTTTGAGCATGCCACCCCATTCCAGTTGCAGAAGTTAGTCCCTGGAGTCCAATTTTCAAGAACTCCAACTGGATCTTCAAGTTCTGATTTTATTCTGAGAAGAGTGTCTGAGTCAGATAAAGTATCTTCTAGAGATGCTACAAGTACAGAACCAAGAACTGAGAAGAAAATCATTAAATAACAAAGATGCAGGCTGGCCATTTCAAAGTTTGTCACTTGGAATCATCTAGTATCAAGTTTTGGTGAATTTGACTAAGGAATTCAATCCATTTCGAGAAACAAACAAAAGAAGAAGAGATTCAAATTTCAAAAATTATCAGAAGAACAGCAAAGAGATCATAGGAGTTCAAGAACAAAAAGGGTAGCAGATGACAGTGATAAACTGCCATGCCAATGAGTTTATATAGTTTCATTGACGTAAGCCTTTCTAATCATCTTTACAGGGTGAAGCAATAATCATAAAAAATGCATGAAAAGTTAAAAAAACTTTCTCATGAACAGGTGTTTTTCTAAGACTATTTACAGTATATCTTCTTTCCTACTATTTTATTTTACTTTTGCCGACAAGGAAATATTTTTGCCAAATTATAAAGAATCCCAAAATTTTCAGGTATATTGAACTGAATAATTTCAGATTAATTAATCACCAAAGTTGTATATTCAACGTGTTTGGTATGGTGCCTTAGCTCATTAGCTGTGGTTGAGTATATCTTCATATTTGGTCTCTCATGTCATAATAGCATGTCTGTGAAATTGGTGTTGGTACCTTTACTCAAGTGTTCTTAAGCATTGCATTAGTCAACATCAAATATGAGAAACTTGGACTAAAAAGCACCCAAAACTCTTTGAACTGAAAATCTTAATATTTTCCCTTAAAAGAAACCTTTTCGGATTTGAACCATGTAAACCTGCAGCATGTATGTATTTTTACACATACTAAGTATAAATTGATGCGACATATACACTAGATTTCGTGTGATATTCATCAAATGTTTACGTGTTAAATATTTAAACCTGCTCTTTTAAAGAAATTGTTTCGTTGCCTATTTATTCAGAATATTCAAATTTTATATAATTATCATTTATTCAAAATTGACAATGTATAGTATATAAAAAATTAATTCTAAACTTATTATCCCTAATGTCTAAACTGGTCCAAGGTTTAACACAGATTGGTCCTCTCATTTTCAAGTTGTTGAAAAAAGGTATGATAAATGCTTCTCAAGGTAATGATAGAATCATGGAAGGATGGAGCATGCCGCAGTAAAGATAAGATGGTCCGATGGCTAAGCTGAAATATGAGAACAAAAAAGCTATGGGAGAAAACGCACTTGCCGCTATAACAAGAAACTTCAACATAGTGGGGCTATCCCTACAAGGTTTTCCACCCATGGCCAGTGCCAATTTTTGGATATATTGGATGTGCAATGAATGTGACATTGGATAAACAGTGCTACAGAAAATCATGGGATTTTTAGGGATCTATTGGAAAACATTGGCTTATACTATTTGACTTCAAATACATGTGTTCAATGACCTTTGTCAATTGTCAACAAAATAGGTAAAATTTCATTATGCTAGAAGTCAGAGGTTCAATCAGCATCACAGTACTACATCAGGGCGATGAATTTGCCTTATTTTCCATTGCTTTTTCTCCTCAAACTCCTCTTCATAGGGATCTTGTCCATTCCAACCACTTTCTAAGATAATGTACATGTCTATTATTCATTGATTTACATTGTAGTTTCCTCTCTCTTTCTCATTCAATGCAAACAAAAATTAAGAAGCAGCCATGCTTCAGATGCTGTGGATATCAGAAAGTGGAGTAATACATTTTAGGTTAATCGCACTTTATCCCCTTTACGTATGGGCTATTTTTCAATTTATACCACAACGTTTGTTTTTCTACAGTTTACCCCAAAGACTAACGGTCAACCCTAATGAAGATAAACAGAATACTGAAAAGACAGTAATGCCCTTAAGAAAATAATGAACAACTCAAAATACCCATATCTCTAGGTTTATGAAAGGAATAAAGAAAAGTTTCCAAAATTACCCGGGAATAATGGAGGAGGGAAATTTCCCTCCATCTGGCACATGGGACAAAAAAAAAAAAGAAATTCCGGAACCTTTTGATACCTTTTGTCATTGTGGGTCATCTTTTCTCTCTCATTTATCAGCCACTTTTCTCTCTCCTCTATCTACCCATGAAAAGTGTCCACATGCATGCCGGTTTTGAATAAAAAGAAAATATAGCTATCTAAAACTCTTTTTGACTTATTCATGTATAGAGCAAAATTAAAGACAATAATAACAGATTATTAATGAAAAATTCTTACATTTTAATTTGAGCAGCAGTAAAATCTTCTTTCCGGATTTTCAAGTGTCCAAGAGGTGCACAATGGTGCCTCTTTACCATATCCACACATTTTTTGGGGTGATTTTTCAATGTTATTTGAAGCACTTTGTGACATTTTTATGATACTTTTGGTTGACAAAGAAAAATTTTAGGAGCTGTTGAATCTGTTGAAATGAAAGAGAAAAAATAGGCTGCAACTGGATGGAAGCATGAAAGAGAAAAAATAGGCTAAAAAGCATCAGACATCCCTTTTTATAACTCATTAAGGGACATTTTAGTCTGTCAAAACAAACAGTTCTCTTCCAATGGCAATTTTGGCATCTTGAAGTTTCTAACGATGCAATTGCTTTGCTGGACTGACGGAGGGGGTAAACTGTGAAAACACAAACGTTGGGGGGTAAATTGAGAAATGACCCATACTTAAAGGGGATAAAGCGCGATTAGCCCTACATTTTATGCTTTTGCACTTTTGCAGTCTACAAGTATTGTATACCTTCTAAAAGCGTGATCTATGAAGTTTCCCATCTAGGTCATGTGAATGATTACCAATAACAAATAGTGATATATCAATATATACCTGGTTAAGTCAAGAAATTTTAGTAGCTCGGTAATGACTCTCAACCATTTGTTAGTTCTTGTTTTATATATAATAGTATTACTTATCTTCATCTTTAAATTCTATTGTAGGTAATTGGTTTTGAAAAGCACGAATAGAAATTTCATGATTGGATTAGCTCATTTTGCTTTTGAATTATAAATATTACATTGATTTACAGTAGTCAAGCTCAAGATCACACTGCTTTGACTTGCTTCATTTTAATATTCAAGCCTATTAGTTGCCCCAACTTGGTCCAATTCTGCTTAGATCTTCTGTTGAAATCCTTTATTCCCCAACCAAAACCTACCTAATACCAAATTTAATACAGGAAAAATACACATGAGCAGAACAACCACAGTTGATTTCGGGGTGATCTGTTTTATTTTAATGCTGCACAAACCCCAGATGAAAAGAAAGCCATGTGAGGATTTGTTGTCGTTTAAGCTAGGGATATTCCATCTGTCTAGCTTGAATTGTTAATGCTTTTACTACAAGAAAGCAATGCGTTTAGGAGCATTCTTGATAGAAAAAGACCCAAACAAATGAGGACAAAGATGCATGCTCCACAAGGATTTTTCGTTTCATAGTGAACACATGTAATTACCACAGCTTTAAGCTTTATCTTATTCTACATTTGCTTATTACCTTGAGTAATTTTATGATATTAGATATCTTCAAATGCCACCTAACATGTGAAATAATATCAGAGGAAGGGGTGTATTTTGGACTAGCATAACTAATTATATTCTGTTAAAAATATGAGAAATTCTATGGTTCCTTTTGGATATTATTCCCTCTGTTTGTATCTCTCACTGACGATAACAATTTAATTATTTAACAATATTTAATTTAAGGATCAATAACATTTTCTTTACCGTCTAACAGTGAATTTTACTTGTAGATACGACACCGAATACTCGCAAGAGATCGTTGAATCTCCCGAAAGTATCATACCTTAACTACACTGAAAATTTTGAGATGATCTGTTATAAACAGCGGTCTATGTTTTGTGGTCTCACCATGAGGTAAGTGCCATAAATGGGATTCACTTGTGGAAAGTCGAAACTAGCTACCATATTGTGGAGCTGATTTATCTATATCATAAAATAGCATTGAATTTTTCTATAGAATTGTGAAAGACAGACTGTGAAAAGTATATATATGCAATGATTATCAACAACTAAAGGTGCAATATCCTAACTGGACTACAGAATTTTCTTGCAAGGTTATGGAGACGGGTGGAATAAGATTTCCTAGTACCACATATCGAACAATCTCAATCCAAAAGATCCAACATCGTTTGTTCCATCAAAAACCCAAGACAAGGAAACTTGCTTTTAGCCATGCGGGAAGAGACTAGTGCTATCCATTTGCTGATCACATCTGTGCATTCTACACATACACTACAATGATGGCTGCCTCCATCTTTATGATTCCTAAACAAAGCCACATTGTTAAGCCCTAATTGCTACAACAATAATTTTTCTCAGGTAAATGTTACTTTTTGTTTTTTTTTTTAAGATGTTGACAGACTTTATGGAAAACATTTGGGGTGCTTGCTAAAGATTTTTTTTTAATTAATTTTCTTTAGGTTAATTCTCTACCTAATATTTTGTCCAAATCTCCAATTCCAAGTGGCCCAAACACATAGAACCAAAATAACACCACCAACTTTGGAATTAAGAAAAAAATGAGATATGCGATTGAGATCGAAGTATAGTTGAAAATGGAGAGGCTAGGGACTTTAAAAATGTGATATAAATCCAAAGGAGAAGGTACATCATTGTTGGTCTGAATAATATCTATAGCAAAAGAACAAATTAAAGGAATTCCTTCCATCTATCAAGGAATTTAAAAAAATTATCACAGGAAGAACATTTTCTCTTTCTTGGGTCCACTTTGAAGAAAATAATGCTACAAGAAAGGGAATAAAACCATCTAAAAGAAGTACACCTTAAGTCATTTATCCATCACTTCATTCTGTTCTGATGAATGATTGCTGACTTTTGGGAACTAATATTCGTTTTTAATGCTCTAAGGAGTTCTTGATGGATAAGGAAGAAGTTGACTTTAGTTTGCTTTCCAAATAATTCATGTAACCTCATCCATTAGATTTCAAAAGTAGAGATAAGGAGGCCCTCTTTTTATTAAAGCTATTAAGAAGTAGGTGTTTTATTTGGATTTGTTTTCCGAGGAATTAACTTGGTGGTTCTATTACAACACAAGAAAATGAAGGAAGCCACCTTTGGAATCCTGTCAAATCAATTTATAAAGGAAAGTGTTGATTCCTTGAAAGAAAAGCAAACCGTAGACACCTTAACATGCCCTATGTATATTAGTGTATATAATTTCTAGATAAAGAAATGCAGTCTTAGCCACTAATGTTTGG